CTTGCAAAAATATAGGGTAAGCCTGCGTAAGATAGGGTCTTGTGTTTCAGCCCTTCCCCGAACCCTGCGTATAGCGGGAGCTTAGCATACAGAACTGCCCTTTTATATTTAAGAAGATAAGTATGGCTCTTTGTTGGCTAAATACCAAAATAATAATATAATGTAGTATTATTGGTTCTAACTTAATTGACTTTACTTTATGCACTTAAACTAATATCTAGAATTAGCCAGTAGCAATGTATCTTATTAATTAGCTACGAGTTCAACTGAACAGAATATTTTGGACACCAAACATAAAAATATATGCGAAAAACATGGTGTACCGCGTGTTAAAAGGCAGAAATTGCCCCAAGTTTTGGATGCCCTAATTTTTATTTAATGTTCAGTAATATTAGATTAGTCTTGTTAAATTCGTTCTTGAATAGTTTTTTATAAGACTTCAAGAAATTTCGCAAGGACTCAGTCAGAGGAGAAGCTTCAATCGGCGCAAAGTCAGGGTCTATTATGGGAGCATTTGCCTTCTCTCGACCCTGAGACCATAGTAAATATGATGCAATAAATCCGAAACCATACTCCATTTTGAATATATAATTTTAAAAGTACATTAAATTAAATGCAATTAAAAGCTGAACCTATCAAATTTAAATTTTGGATTCGATATATAGTTAGGGGTGGGGAAGGGGGGAATATCTTTTTGCAAATCTTCAACCAAAACAACCCCACAAAACTTTTCTTCCTAACCTCTCATATGCTACAACTTATTAGTTTTTTGTGCTAAGTATGTATCTTTTGACTTCTTGGAATCTCAATTATCAATAAGTTACCTAGGGCTAAAAGGTAAGCTGATTAGTTAGTATTCATAAATTTTGTGGAGGGGATTTGACAAAATCTTGATACAAATCTGCAAATGGTGTAGAATAAGAGGGTGTGGGGGGAAAGGCAGTTCGTGTTGTGAAAAGTACTTTTAAACTAGTAATAAAGTATTTTTTTGAATATTGTATGTGATAAATTAGCGACTAATATTTGTATTATCATAGGTTCTCTCCGTGTGAGCTATAGTTCACGGGTTCGAGCCGTGGAAGCAATCAATAGTACTTGTATTAGGGTAGGTTATCTACATCATATCACTAGAGGTGTGGTCCTTCTTCGAATCTTGCATAAATACGAGATGTTTTGTGCGGCTCCTTTTTCTTTTTTTTAATAAATTAGTCAGCGAGTCGAGAATAGTTGTTGTCCTAAACTTCTATAGTAATTTTGAATGTTTTAGATAAATTAATTAATAAGCGAGCCTCGTAAAGATTTTTGATTTTCCTAGATAATAAGTATACATCTTGATAGTTAAAATGTAGACTTCTTGCTTTAGTGTTAATAGTTAGTACTTCTCTTTCCCATAAGTGATGCTTTTTGCTAGTACTAGTAAATACTCTACTTGATATAGATATTGTGTTGGAATTATTTCTATTTGGACTTTAACATTAATTTAATTATTTAGTATTATTAAAAAGGCTAAACAAATATAGCTGGTGTCAGAGCCAGCTAATTACATGCACCTTGACTATTCCCCCAGGTATATGATATCTCTCTCCGATCAGCTGACAGCAGTTTCAATACAAATATCTGGTAATTTTGTCCATCAAAACTTAAGCAAATAAAAAAAAAAATCACGTAATATTTTCTCGTTCGCCCTCCTTATAACTGTTGGTGACTATCCCGTTGAAATTGACATCTATTGTAGGGGGAGAATGAGAGGAAGACTTAATCCTCATTTAATAACATAATATTAATGTTGCAATCTTATTAAAGGGGCTAATCTTTCGGAAATTATGTGAGTTTTCTAATTCTCTTTAAATAAATTGAATACCTTAAAGAGAGAGATAGAAATTTCTTTTCTTTTCTTTTTTTTAATTTTCTATTCGATTCTCATTGTGTAAGTTGCATTAAAGGGAGAAGCCTTTCATGTTAGGATTTTTTCATACTCAAGCTCGAATTCGAGAACTCTGATTAATGGCGAAAGAATCTGATCCATCTTATTATAACCCTATATGGTCTCTTAACTTTATTAGTAAGTCTCATATTCTTATCCACTTCACGATATTCATGTATGAACAACATTCAAATAATAAAGTACATTAAGACCATTAGTTTATAAAATTAAACTATAATACTATGATCCACCTGTAGGCTCAGTCCCTATATATGCAAAGAATTAAAGAAAGAGAGATTAAGGAAGGAGATTTAAATATTAATAAGGTATTAATTATATATAGACCTAGGAACCAGAAAAAAATGATCTAGCTAATTAAAGGAGGGTTGACAAAGTTGCCCTACAATGGACTCTTGATATAAATGAACTTTTAAATAATTAATTTTCTATATAATCTAACCAAATATTCTTTGAAGTAGACCCTTAATGACTTTTGTTTTTCTTCAACAATAATTTATCTGCACCCTTAAATTAATGTAGCTGTTATTATCACTTCATTCACTTTTTGTAGGATAATAATACTATATTATAAAAGAATATAAAAATAATTCTTAACTCATCTGTATGATTGTCAACCCCTCTTTTAACAAACCCATAATGAATTACTATATCACATTCTGGTATCCAAGGAAATTGACTTGGCCTTATCTCTTTAACGACTTTATTACTTTACCATGCATTTATTTACACACTTCTAATTTTATTACATTCTTTCGTTTCCAATTGCTACTGTCTATCACACTCTTTATCGAAATATACCTAAAATGATTTATTTGTAAACATCAAATAAATGTGTTTTTATATTATAATTTTGCTGGATTTTAACTTATATACACTTATATTATCACAAAGCATCTCCATTTTTGGATAGGGTCGGGGAAGAACCGCATCCCCAAGAGGTGTAATGTAGACAGCCTATCTTAATGCAAGCATTAGTGGATATTTTCACGGCTCAAACTCGTGACCTATAGGTCATGCAGAAACAACTTTACTGTTGCTCCAAAGCATTTGATTTAATTGGTTACCAAATTAAATTATTTACTCTATTTCTTAAAGTTCCATGCATCTATTGATATGTATCACGCTTGTTGTGAACAATTACTATTGTATACTGATATTATAAAAGAACTTTAATATTTTTTATGTCATATAAAAAATAATTATGTTAACCGTCAAAAAAAAGAAGTTTAGTAACACAGAAAATAAGGCAGGTTACTGCTTCAACATGTTAAAATACCATAATAAAAGTTTTTTACACGGTCAATATATATAAAGCTAACCCCCTTCTTATAGTTACATCAACATGAATCTGTACTACCTTTTAAAATCGCGGTTATAATCAACTATACAACAAAAGGAACAATCTAATGATGTTGATAAATCACTAGGGAATATGGTGGGATGAATGGATTCCTCCACTTTTGACTAGAAATCAGATTCGGATTATGTTAATGAAAAAATTTCTTAGTAGGAAGTGATAGTTTTCCCTTAAACAAATTCTACATAACACAAAACTGAATAAGTCAGGTCAGCAGGTATCGGTATCGGACAAAACCAGAAAAATACTTTATTATGACAGGTTGTGTGCACTACATTTTTTAGAGTACGGTTTTTTCTCGATCTCTATAGGAACACGGGATACTTTATGTACCGTTTTTTTACATTGTTTGTTTGTTTTAATAACCAGACAAACTTGCTTTTGTTGCAACCAAATCAACCCATTGGCCATTGAGAATTACTGCCTTTTTTCCTTCTAATTTCTCAAGTCCAATAGTTTTTTTACTTCTGTTCTAATAAAATTACTCTAAGATTATCCACTTGACACGTAGTAAGTCAAAATGGTACGTACAAAAAGTTGACTTTTGGTTGAAAAGTACAATCCCGCGTATTAGGTACACAAAAGGACTTGTGTTTCTAGAAATATAACTATCATATGATGATGTCAAGGAATTTGACCTTTGGATTTACTATTAACAATTTTTTTATTAAATTCATTTTTAAACTAATTGGTCCCAGCAAAAATTAGGAAACTAGTCAAATAAAATTATAAAGGGAAAATAAAAGAAAAAGAAACAACAGAAGAAAGGAATTTAAGTCAACTAGGTGTTTATACAAACACTAGCTTGCCTTAGTTAGGTTGGTTTGGTAGATTGGGACAAGAAAATATCAATTTTTGATGTATCTTTATTAAATATAAACTAAACTTTATACTTAGTTTCATACACTTAGCTCCATCTTTATTTAGTTAGAAGATAATCCTGAATAACTAGACAATACACAAAAGAATTATTAGCAAAGGTAAAGCACAACCATTAATTTATTTTTACTTGAGATAAGAGTTAGCTTCATCCGTGTTAGGTTGCTTGCTCACACTGTCGGTTTCAAGTACAAATAAAGGAAGACATTTCTGATAAATTGATGATCATTGTGAAACTCGTTTTGATGTTTTACCTCAAAGTTATAGGGTTCAAGGTCAACTAGTAAGAGATTGAAGAGATTAGCTTCATCGAACAAATCTGAATCACCATCAAAAAAAAGCTAAAGCAATGCTCAATAATAAAAGATATAGGGGCGCATGAAGAGTGTAACGCCTATGACCGAGGACAGGCCGATGAGGGGCATGTCAAGCAGGACTGGCAGGCTTCAGCTGGCAAGCTTCTAAAGAAGGGTCCACATATCACCTTAGACGAACCCCACATCGAAATGGGAGGGGAAAGTAAAGTACTTTATAAGATATGACACAAATTCACATTCTTATAAAACAAATTCACATGATACGCACGTATTTTTGACCCAATATAGCGTAGCCCAAGAGACGATCCATGCGGTTTGTTGTGCTATAGCGGACAATACGTACCATGAGCTTAGATCGTAGATTTGCCTAGAATAAATCACCCTTGAAAGAGTAAAAACCTCAATATAGCACTTCAAAATATAAAGTAAAATAATTCTAGCAGAGTATAACTGTGTATAAAACTTAAGGGGGCCTTATCTCAACAATTTGTTACACTTAAAATTCAACTAGGTAGAGCAATGGCTGCTTCCTTCATTGCAAAAGAGAGCAACTTACCTGCCTACAGATTTTATATTGTATAGCTGTATGCTAATGTAATACAGAAAATGAAAATCATATAACTTCAGATGTATAAATTATCATTAATTTATATACACTGCTTTACCAGTTCCAACAGATATCTGAAACAAGAAAAATCAATATCTGAATGAACTGCACCAGCATCATCATAACCTTAACATATGCTGAGACCTTGACAAAGTTGAAATGCCGGCCAACCCCAATGGTCTTTCGGAAGATGCATAAACGTACTACTCGGCTTCAAGATCATAGTATAATTCAAAGTATTGTAATATGATCTTGAATATAGCACTAGGACGTCCGTGTTGCAATGACTTCATATTGTTAATAGGCCATATGAAGTTACCGGACGAGAAAACATATTTAAGAATGTTTATTATAGTTTGGTGCCATCTTGGGAGACGGTAACAACTTCGAAGTGAAACATGCGCTATCCTTTCATCTTTCTCAGTCAACATGTGAATGACTAACTGTTTTGGAAGGAGCGAGTATGGTAACTCCTGAAACAGGCATTATTTCAGGTTCATTGCCGCTGCCATAGTTCTCAATTTTTGAGAGATTTCTGAGAATGATGGCCTCTCTGCCGGCTCAGGGGCCCAACAACTCTCCATCAGCGCTTTCCATTCGGGATCACACCATGTTGGAATTTGTGGACGCAGTGTATTGTTAACAATTCCTCCTATATATCATAAAACAAGATGAGTAATCCCTCAAGTAATATGAAAATATTTACACACGTCCAGAATGCGGAAACTGGTTTTTGTAGATAAGTAACAGCTACAGCCTATATATAATAAGCAGACTCCTTCAACACCTTGTATCACTGGAAATTGTGTTGAAGATATAACTAACTAAATAAATAAATAAAAATGTACCCTCTCCATTAAAGTTCCTCAAGAAGCCGACATGTTTGCCCCTTTGATACCCAAAAGCCCAACAAACCAATATCAAGCGCAGAATTCTGAGGTCCCTAATTACCCCCACAAAACCAACAGCAAAATCACTCATCTTTCCCTTGTTTTCAAAGAAGCTCAATCCATTGCTAATATCGCTCTTCCTATGATTCTCACCGGTCTTTTACTTTACTCCCGGTCCATGATCTCTATGCTTGTTCTTGGCCGGATCGGTGATTTAGCACTAGCTGGTGGTTCCCTTGCTATTGGATTCGCCAACATCACTGGATATTCAATCCTTTCTGGTTTAGCCATGGGTACGGAGCCCATTTGCGGACAAGCTTTTGGTGCCCAAATATACAATCTTCTTGGGCTAACTTTGCGAAGAACCATTCTTTTACTTTTATTAACTTCATTTCCAATAAATAAATAAAAGGTCCAAATTTCATTCTCTTAACAATTTACAATCACGACGCTAGCCATGCAAGGACAGAAAATATGCCAAGAGCTACTAAGACAACCACAACAGCAAATAGATATAGATAACCATCAGACATGCATAAATGATCAAACACGTTTCGATTGCATTATACAGTATAATTGGTACTATTCTCATATATGACCTAGACGCTACCTAGATTAAAGAGTCCATCAGCAAGCATTCACAAGTACCCAGTGACAGAGACACAAATGGACAGGGATTCTAAAAGATACTGCATCCACTTAGTGAATTGTCTTCTTCTTCTTCTTCTTCTTCTTTTTCTTTTGTCTCCTTTTTTTTTAATTCTTTTTTTTCAGTGGTTCTCTGAAAGTGGTTCTTTTAAGGAAGGGAAGTTTCAAGGTGATACAAACAAGTAGAGGAGATTGATTTCTCTGGCAAACAAAGAGAAAAAGAAAAATAACATGCATTTAGAACGGGTACATACCTATTATTGAAGCACAATGCATATCTGCATATGGTTCATCACCAGTAAGCAACTCCCACATAACAATTCCAAAAGAGTAAACATCAATCTGCATCGCAGAAAAAGGTTAATGATCACTTCATGAAAGAGCAAACATAACAACATAACCTCCGGCTTTTCAAAGACAAGACGTTACCTTCTCTGTCACCTTAGTTTTTCCACTTAGAAGCTCAGGTGCCATCCAGGGTAAAGTGCCACGAACACCTCCTGAGACTAAAGTGTGCTGTTTCACCTTTGATAGGCCAAGATCACCAATCTAAAGGTAAAGCAATGTAGTGTCAGGCGCTAAATATATCCACTACAGTACGAGAGTTGTAGTGTTACTGAACTCCACAAATCTAAATGCATTTTTATCTTCAGATACAATGAATTCTGAAATATCTTAACTAGGCTGTGGCGCTCAAGGAAATATGAGTATTCATCATACCTTGCAGACAGGTCGATGTGGATCCCGCATATTCACCAACAGATTTTCACATTTAAGATCAAAGTGAACAATGTTTTTCCCATGCAGATACTCCATTCCAAAAGCAGTATCCATGGCAATGATAAGCCTTTTACGACGATCAATAGTCCTGTTGAATAAATAGTTATCAAAGATATGTTGAAGATGCGAACTATCTAGAACATTGACAATGTCCTTTAACTTAATGAAATTGTGAAAATAATGAAGTCCAACTCTGACGGTTACCTCCTAGATAACTGAAAAGCAAAATGTACCTGTCCTTTTTCTGTAAAAACTGCTTCAACGATCCATTGACCATGAATTCTGTAACAGTTGCTAAAGATCCATCAGGGCCATCACGGACTACACCGTAAAAAGAAACAACATTTGGATGGTGCAGTGAACTTAATGTCAGAGCTTCCCTCCAGAAATCTGCAATCTAATGAACAGAAAATGAAGAGGAAAATAAGATTGGGTTCAAAATATAGACTACTTCTGGAGAATGAAGACAGAGTGAAACAAAGCAGCGCAATAAGCAAAGTGTAGCATCAAATTAAATTTCACCATTAGAACTCAGGTCATAACTAGAAGTGGTGATAAGAATGCTAGACAATATCATTTGAATCCCTCTTTTCAACTTCTTCCTCTTATTTTCTTCCTAATTTGGGTAGGAAATGGTCAATCAATATTTTAAACGATATGAGATCTCCAGTGAACACCGATGATATGAGAGGCAATCCATCTTAAAGCTATGGTCACATTGAAAGAGAAAAATAATGCCAAAAAGAAGAGCGTCATAGATCAACGTAATATACTTGCTGAAAGTTGGCACCAATTATACCTAATACTATATATTGATATAGTTCATGGACTATGAACATCTTCATAGTCAGTGCCTGAGCTAAAATTTTATTTGCTTGAGGAAGTTAGTGTTTCAGGTCAGTATTTTATCATTACTAAAAGAGTAGAAGAGAATTTGGGGTTTGCCAGGAGATCAGTGAATCTCGGGTGACTATTTGAAACACATCAATGAGATTGCAAACAGTAGACTTGTCATATTTCCTACTAACCCGAGTCATGGAAAAAAGACAAAAGAATTTTAGCAGGAGCATATCAGGAGAAGAGGAAAGAGCTTATGAATCTTTATATTTACAAGCATTTGCAGGATTCTGATGTCACTGATGGAGAAGAAGCGTCCAGAATAGGATATGATGGTCAATAAATCCCAACATTTTACTGGTTACACAAGTGAGAAAGTGAAAAGAAGAGGATCCACCATGCTTACAGAGCAGAAGTTTTTATATCAGAGAATGTATATATTAAGGACATACCAAACGTTCTCTTTCAGATGGCCTTCCTGCGAAGCAGCTGGCTTTGATTCTCTTTATAGCGACATCTGACCCCTTCCACTTTCCGTGATAAACTGATCCATATGTCCCAGAACCCAACTCCCGGATTTCCTCGAGATCTTCATTCTTGATTGTCTATATCAATACAACATGAATACAGTTTTATTCAAATAATATATATGAAAATAACAAAACCTGACAAAATATTCACTAAAAACAAACAAAACAAAATGAATGCAGAAGGTTTTCCGTATAATCTCCTCGGAAAAATCTGAGAGGAAAGAGAAGCAGCAACTAATGTGACACGAGATTTGACTAGAAAGGTTTTCCCATAATCTCCTCAGAAGAATCACAGTTGGAATGCGGAAAAAAAATGTTAGCTTGAGACTAGTGAGGAAAGGGAAGACAGAACAAAGTGATTTCAAGAACCTGCAATCCCTTCTCAATAGCTTCTTCCTCAGCCTTTGTCGGCTCAATCTTGGAATTGTTAACATTGTCGTCAGAATCAAATTCCAAGCCCCCATGGCCATCCTGTAAATCAAGAGATGGTATTATATATAGAATCACAAATACTAAACATATATGATGCAAACTAATAATAATAATAATATCGTGACCCTCACAGCTAACTCTGCATCGTTCTCATTCGCCACTTTAGCCGCAGTGTCATGCTCATGAATGGAATCAGCATTTTCTTGGACTTCAGCTTTTACACCCTTAACACTTTGTAATTCTACCTTTTCCACAGAAGAAATCTGATCAGGTAAGCAAGCCAACCGATCCTTTGGGTTAGTCTCAGTATCGGCAGAACCACCTTCTTTTACAGCACTTTCTGGGCAAGTGGACCCAAGAGATACAGGGGTATTTGGATTTTTGTCCATTAATGCTTCTGACGGAGTCCCGCTGCACATATTAGAGTCTTCCACCAACACTGAAGGACATAGCTGTTCAACTTCCTGGCGAATAAAACTCTCCTTCTCGCTGACACACATATCAGCAGTTAACTTTGTTCCAGACCTATTCAACGAAGCCGGCCTATCACCAAGGAATGGTTCTGAATCAGATTTTAACGACGGATCCTCCAGAGTTGCAAAAGTGTGCATGCCACCTGGGGTCTGAATAGCTTCCACAGTATGCACGGACTGATTTCCCACAGTGTGAGCATTTGATATCATGTTTTGGGCTGGTACATAAGAATATTCAGGCACGGAAAAACCATCAAATCCCATCCTTTTCTGTGAAGAATCAAGCCAAGAATTTTGGTTCTCCATCCCAGCTTGCAACCTAGGACTATTTTCCATTATACCCCTGACAAATCCAGGACTAGCAGAACCATTGACCAACTGTGGTGGATTAGCAACCTCGTATGAAGGACCTCCGTGACTTGGGCTTTGAACATTCCTCCACAAAGAATGTGCAGGCATGTTTGCTTGAGGAACCTGGTAGGTTGCATCTGGTCCGTAAGCATAAGGTAGATTTCCATATCGAACTCCACGGTCCTCCATGGAGGGAAGATGAATCTGAGATCCTGTGGCTACCACCTGATCATGATATACCTGGCTAACAGGATCCCGTCCAGTTCGAATGTGACGAAGGTCTTCATAATTGAGACCTTGTGCAAGGACCTGATGCCCGTCAATTAAATTGCTATGGGAAAGTGATATACTGGCAGCATTTTCCACAACATAGTGATCTGTCAACCTACTAGCTCCAGACGCATGGATCTGTGGGTCCTCAACTCGAGCATTTGGTTGATGCTGCACGCTCCACCCTCTTTCATGACTATGAGTCTCACTCTGACGGCAACGAGGATCATTTTGTTCGATGGGGTAGTATGAGTGGTGCAAATTGGCATCGGCAGTCACTGGAAACATTTCTCTTTTTGGTGGGCACTCAGCACAAGGATTTGCAACCTGGTGGAATCCATTTCCCATATCAAAATGAGAATGTTCTCCAGGCTTCCAAGAGGAATCGGGGTGAGGTTGATTGCGCTGAAAAGTCATTCGGCAATGCTCACAGATACTGTTCCCCTCAAATGTGTTAGCACCGTGAAGGATGTTTCCTGGAAAGCCAGCCTTGTCTGGTACAGGTCCATTCGGAAATAATAGTACGTTATCCGTATATTGAGGTTGATGATCATATAGGGATGGATGATTGACCTGAAGACGACTGTACTCTTCAGGCATTCTATCAAAACTTTTCTCTTGGAACTCTGGGTAGGGAGAATAGTACCGCGATGATGAAGGAGAATTTGGAAAATCTGATATTGGCCGTGGATCAAGGTGTCCCGGCTGCCTAGGAGAATAGTATGCTGGACTCCACGGGGCCTCCATTTCATTATACCTCTGATTAACCGATTGTTGGGGCTGAGCAAAACCCATATGTGGAATTGTAAGGTGACGCAAGTTGATCTGAGGCATATGTGCATCGTTACTCCTCAGATTATGGAGGCTACCATCAAGATTCATCTGATTAAAGCACTGCTCCGCAACGTGGAGATCATCTAATGGACCTGTAATCTGAAATTCATTATGTTGTGCCGTTCTGTATTCCGGGGATTCATTAAGACTATTCAAAGCATCCACATACCTTCTCTCATTATCCCTCTCATCCCCATCACAGAAATGCAACGATCCATCTTGATCAGGGTGAGAAAACAGAAAGATCCTGAGCCTAGTAAATCCGTCACCAGAACCCAACTTATCATATTCCTCCATCATATTGACCACATCATCATCATTCACTACCGAGACAAGAGCATCAAGATCCTCATCAGGCTGCTGATACTTTAATACCATTGCCCCCTCAAAGATCTCCCTCATTTTCGCCATGAGTTCCTCAAAAGAAATATCGCGTGGAACACTCACTATCCTTGTCTCACCGCCCACATACCGAAGCTTCCCATCCTGAGGCCTCGGCAATATACTGCCCGAAAAACTACACAAGAACTTCACACGTGGCGTGTCATCGTTAGAACTACAAAGTGAGCCAGGGTTGGTCATTGTGGGGCTATCCATAGAGTGTAGCAAAGGTTGCTGCTCTCTCACTTAGCAATCAAAATTCCAGCCTTTATTCACTCAAAATTCCAACACCTTCATCCTTTATGAGTTAGTATCAGAACTCGTAATACTCCAAAGTCACACCTCAACACTCCCAAATTCAGTAACTCGAATGTTCTGAGAAAGTTAACAACCATGTCCACCAAGAATCATCAATGCCCTAGAAATATTAACCAAACATAAACTTCAAGAATTCTTCAACAAAATAATAACAGAAATCAACAACTAAAATCACCTATTTTTAGCCTCAAGTTAATCCAAGAACATACAAAATACTAAGCCAATGAACCAGAACTCTTCAAACCCTTTTAAGTAATAAATCAAAACCCCTAAATGAGAATTAAGCATCAGTAATATCACAATTCCAGCAAAATTTACCAAACCCCAGAAAAGATTCACCAAATTTCCCATATAATTCAGCAATTCTTTACAAATATGCACAAAAAAGCACAAATTTGTAGCTCAAATAACTCTGGAAAGCTCAAAATATTAACCCAAAAATTCAAAATCCTGAAAACCCAATTCAGTAAATGAATCAAATAACCCAAATTGAGCATCAAGAATCAGTAAAATTACCTTATAAAGAAAATGCCCGTCCTCCTCAATTCTGATTACCCCAAAGCTTCAAACTTTTTCAATTTTCTCCCAATTCTTGACAAAACCCACCAAAATTTAAGCTTTCTCGTATTAAATGTCCTAAAACAAACTCAAAAAATCTAATCTTTAATCTCTAAAAACCCAACAAAAAATTAACAAATAGAGGTGGATAAAAAAAAACCGCAAAAAAAAGCTAGTTATTGGACACCATAAAAAGCTAGTGGAAATTAAAAGTAAGGATATTTATTTGGGTGTGTGTTTGTGTGTGAAATTATAGAGAGAAATAGGAGATGCCATGGTTGGGATGATTGATGCTCTCTCTGTGTGTGTTTTTTGGGGTAGGGTGGTGGGGAAAAGGGGGTGGTTGGTGATGCCAGGTAGAGGGACACTTGGCAATATATGGGAACATGGAATCGAGGCATAAATTTATCTTCGACTAGGTATATTCTTTTCACTCACTTTAAAGGAGCGTGTATTGAAATATTCTTGGGGATATGTTATATTTGTATGAAGAAAAGAATAAACAAAAAATAGAAAAAAATATGCACTATAGATGGTCCAAATTAAATGTGGTGAATTTTTTAAAAAATTATTTTCTTATTTTGGAGAATATTTTTTTAGAAAGTACATCAAGGTCGTTTTCAATCAAGTAACTATTTGATGGAGACTAAGTGGGCATCTAGACATAAGAACGGTGAAATTCCAGAAAAAAGTAAAAAAAAAATAATAAAGAAAATAGTATTTGAAAAATAAAGTTGCTTTTGGACATGAATACAATTTGAAGCTATTTTTGAATTATTGTGAGTGATCTGAAGTGAAAATTTAAATAATATTATAAAATAAAAACAATATAGCAAGAACTATGTAATTAATTAGGACTAATAATAGAAGAGAATGATAACATTAGAAGAGAGGATTTATTTCTTTGTTTTTGAGTCTAGAATAGGTTCATCAGTGAACCTATTTATAGAAACGTTTCGTTGTTACAAAACCAATCTAAAACTTGTTATAAATACATAACCAATCTAAAATCTGTTATGGATACATAACCAATCTAAAACTTGTTATAGATACATAACCAATTTAAAACTTGTTATATGAGACATCCATCGGTGCAAATGGATAGATCCATTTGCAGGATTTATAACACTCCCCCTTGGATGTCCACTAACAGATAATGTGCATCATTAAAACCTTACTAAGAAAAACCCAGTGGGAAAAATCTTAGTGAAGGAAAAAAAGTACACATATCTTGTAATACGCATTAAGAGTTGCCTCATTAAAAATCCTTACTAGGAAAACTCAAATGGGACAAAACCTTGCTTAAGGGAAAAAGAGTACAACGCGTATTTCTCCCCCTAATAAAAAACCTTATTTGATATCTCGGAGACGACCCATTCCAATCTTGTATCTTAACTTCTCAAATGTTGATGTCGGCAATGCCTTAGTGAACAAATCTGCCAAATTATCACTTGAACGAATTTGTTGAACATCTAATTCACTATTCTTTTGAAGATCATATGTGAAAAAGAATTTTGGTGAAATATGCTTTGTTCTGTCTCCTTTAATATATCCCCCTTTTAGTTGAGCTATACATGCAGCATTGTCTTCAAATAATGTTATTGGGATATCATTTTCCCGTGAGAGACCACATAGCTCCTGGATATGTTGAGTTATTGATCTCAACCAAATGTATTCTCGACTCGCTTCATGAATGGCTATTACCTCTGCATGATTTGAAGAAGTAGCAATCACAGTTTGTTTTGTTAAACGCCATGATATGGCAATACCTTCACATGTAAATAAATAGCCTATTTGAGATCGACCTGTATGTGGGTCAGACAAATATCCTGCATTTGCATAATCAATCAGTTATGACCTAAAAGTTCTTCATTATTTTCATGAGGACGAAATGGATCTTTATTTAGATCAAGTGATCTCACAACTGTCGGGGTACTCAATGGATGTGTTTTATCCATATAAAAGAGCTTCAAAATATTTTCGGTGTATGTTGATTGATGGACAAATATTCTATTTTTCAAATGCTCAATTTGTAAGCCAAGACAAAATTTTGTCTTTCCAAGATTTTTCATTTCAAATTCTTTCTTCAAGCATTCTACTGCCTTTGGACGCTCTTCAGGAGTTCCAATGATATTCAAGTCATCAACATACATAGCTATTATGACAAATTCAGATCCAGATCTTTTTATAAAGGCACAAGGATAAATTGTGTCATTCTTGTACCCTTCTTTCAATAGGTATTCGTTGAGACGATTATACCACATGCGCCATGATTGCTTCAATCCATACAAGGATTTATGAAGCTTTATTAAACAAGTTTCTCGGGTATCTTTGTATGTTTCATGTACTTTGAATCCTTTAGGGATTTTCATAAAAATTTCGTTATCCAGTGAGTCATATAAATAGGCCGTGACAACATCAATAAGATGAATATCAAGTTTTTCATGAATTACTAGACTAATAAGATACCTGAATGTGATTGCATCCATCACAGGAGAATATGTCTCTATATAATCAATGCCAGGATGTTTACGAAAAATCTTGTGCCACAAGTTGTCTTTATATCTATAGACTTGATTTTGAATTTTACTTTTTCACAAGAAAATATGTTTACCTCCACTGGGCTTTATACTTTCTGATGTTGGGACTATATGTCCAACTTCACATTTTTTCAGGTGAAGTCAATCTTGATTGCGTATTTTTTATTTTGGCCAATCATTTATCTGTCCACATTCTATGATAGATTTGAGCTCAAGATCCTCATCAATATTGATAATATTGAGCGCTACATTATATCAATAATATCGTCGATGTTCATTTTATATCAGTTGCATCATCACTTAATAAAGACATAACTTGTCGAGATCTCTTTTTTTCAGGTACCCGAGCCTCTTTTATGAGGTCCTATAAAGTGTTATGTCGCGGTGCCCTTATAGAGCACTTGCCTCCTTATTATAGACATCTTGATCATTTACTTTTCTCCTTCTTCAAGGAGTTTTATTTTTGGAACCGATTAGTCAATTATGCTTCATGTGTGCCATAGACTTTGTCCTTCATGGACTTTATTCCTTTTTTTTGGAGCACTAGTAGCTGAAATATGATATTTAGCTTTGGGCCAATAAATGTGTCTAGCAATATTTTGCAAATGAATTATCACTTGAACTTGAAGTTCATATTTTCTTGTGTGAGGATCTAGACGTACTCATAATAATTCATCTCATGTAATATTTTTTTAGCTGCCCATTCCCCCCCCTCCCCCCCAATGTTGGATCACCAAGACATATCCCCATAATTCTTTAGGGACTCATCTTTATGCGTTATGGTGGAGCAATTAAATCATATAGCACATTCATATTTCTAGATAGAATTTATTTGGTTCCTGACCCTAAACCAATTGTGACAGGGAGAATTTATCAATAGTTTGTTGGCTAGATGCGTACAAGCGCTGATATATATTAAATAATACATCTCATACCAAATTTTATTTTTGGGAGTTTTGTTCTCATAACCAATTGGTTAGCTATAGTTGGAGGCATATAATTTCTACTAAACCAACTTGGATTTAAACCAGCATTATCAAGATAAATCATCATAATTTACATTCTCGAACTGTGCTCTAATAATTTGAGCAAGTAACCTTGCAAAAGCCAAACTACAAGTTGATAATGCACATGTGACTATACAATAGATGCAACTATTAAAATCATATAATAGTAAATGGTCCACATGACACGTGATTGGACCCATATATATCATCTTTTATTCGTTGCACCAATCCAAAACCTGTTATTACATAACCAATCTAAAACATGTTATGGATACATAACCAATCTAAAACATGTTATGGGAGACATCCATCGTTGCAAGTGGATGGATCCATTTGCAGGATTTATAACAAATAACAGTTTTCTGGAGTTTTTCGGATTTTTTGAAAAATTCTGAAATTCGACTTCAAGTGAAATTTCATGGCCAAACACTGATTCTGAGAAAAGAATTCAAAAAAAAAAAAAAATATTTTATGGCCAAACAGGCCCTAAATTCACTTTTCATAAATGTAAAAAATAAAACTGATCAGGAATATATTTTAGGCCTCTCCGAAATATAAGGGGTTATTTTTATTAGTTCTCTCGACATATTTTTCTTTCTTGGATTTAAGAAGTTTTCCGAAAATAATTTATTACATGCTTAATTGGGGTGCAAAGTTTTATTCGAACAGAATATTCAAATCACGATTTTTTGATGTAGTTGTGAATTAAAAAGCAATGAATAAATATCTAAGGTTGAAGTTGGAGGAATATTTGGATCTTAACATTAGGCACGTTTTGAAATGGTAGTATTATGATCCATAATGGTAGATTTAAGTGAATAAATGTACATATGAATGTATATATTATAGCATGTAAAAATATGTTGATTAATTTTTTTAACTTAAATTATAAATTTGACTTTAATTTAAGTTAGAATTCTATTTGAATCCTTAATATTTGAGATCATATTCTAGACAAAGATTGAAGAAAGTAGTACAATCAGCAATGCATGTCATACACATTAGAGCACGTAATCAATTTATAGAGGAGAAAAATAACCTTCAAATATTCTCTAATATTCTTTATGCAATACTTCACTAAAAAAATAGCTCGTAATACTCTTATTTATAATAGCATGAAACTTAATTTAATCACATATTAGAAAATTTATTGCTATATAATATTGACTACAAATGCTATCTAGATATTAATTAAATAAATTAACTAATGTTAAATCCTAATAATATAAACATTCTACTCCAACTTTAAATTAATCTTCAAAATAGGTTAAATTTCCCATATTCAATTTAAATTTAAGTTGATTCTTTTTAATTCAATTTTCAGTATATGCTTTGCTCGATTAATTTAAATTTTATTTTGCTTGATTAATTCGAATTCACACTAAAATTTTGGAATCTAAATGGATCTTAATAGTCTAATCCTATTATGTTGTAGATTTGTAGACTGCATCACTATCACAAATTACATGTTAGAAACAGACTCTAAATTGATAGGTTATCTACCAGCTTGGGCCTAAAGCTATAATACAATATGGGAGTCAACTTATGTAATTAATAGTCCCTCCGTTTTAATTTTGTGAACTTATTTTCTTTTTAGTTCGTCCCAAAAAGAATGACTTATATTCCTATTTGAAACAATTTATCTTTATGTAATGATTTATAACCACATAAAATATATATGACTCATTTTATACCACAAGTTCAAAAATTTTAAGTATCTCTTTTCTTAAATTTTGTGCCTAGTCAAATAAATTTTTGAAACGGAGGGAGTAAGTTATATTGTACTGTACTAGGTTTGCTTGTAAATAATTGGACAAGATATTAC